GGTTGGGGCGGGGCGGGGCGGGGCAGCAGAGGCCTCAGAAGTGGAAGACTGAAGCGGGCCTGAAGGAGGCGGGCCGGAAGCCGAGCAAGGAGGAGAGGGCCCAGAGGGTTGGGGCGGGGCGGGGCGGGGCAGCAGAGGCCTCAGAAGTGGAAGACTGAAGCGGGCCTGAAGGAGGCGGGCCGGAAGCCGAGCAAGGAGGAGAGGGCCCAGAGGTAGCTTCTCGGGGAGGAGCCGGAAGGGGGCGTGCCCTAGGGGAGGGCCGCGCGGTTGGGCTTGAAGAGGGCGGGGCTTGGGGTGGATCCCTTGGGATCCGGGAGCGATGAGGCAGTTAGCAGCACCTGCTGACACTTTAAAAGAGCCCGGCACCTGAAGAGGCGAGGATTGCTCTTCCCTGCGTTGGTCGAAACTGGACGAAGAGGCTGCGGCGACAGTGATCTGGAAGCAGTTTCAAGTCCCACCCAATAAAAGGCTAATTTTAAGTACCTTTATCCTTCTAGGGTGCAAGAGATGTTTTAACTTCTTCTGGGCGGTGATCTTTCCTCCTAAAAAATTTTTTTCTGTTGGGATCTCTCACTTGAATCACTGTTCCAGCCTCCAGCGTCTCCCACCCCCAGTCTCTGGTCTTCTTGGAAAGGCCAGAGAGCTCTAATAGATGCACAAGAGGATCATTTTCATTCACTCTTCACCTGTAGAAGAGCGGGACCTGACCACATTCTCAATACCTTGTTCAACCGGTGATTTCATGATTGTGTTTTTGACATCGCTTCCCACCGAACCTGCCTAAGAGATGGGATACCTGAGAACCAGGCAGAGTTTGAATTGAATGTCCTGGCTCTGCCAGACCAGCAGTAATAACTTCCTTTCTTTTGATGACCTCCTTGTCCCACTTCAAAAGTAAGAAAATTCTTTCAGAGAAATGATGACCCTGAGAGAAAGGCCTGAAACATTTTTACCCCCATTCTCTTTTTAAATACCACCTGGGAGAGGTCTACCCTGGACACTTCGTTAAAAGGTATTCTCTAGTTTGTCCTCTTCTGTCATTTATTTGTCTTTACGTGTTTTGTCTGACGCCCCACTAGAATGTAAGTTCCATAAGACCCGGGATTTTTGTTTTCTTTTTTTAATTTTCTAAAGTGCCAGTGCACTTGGTGGAGAGAGAGAGAGAGAAAGTGAGAAAGCACCTCCAGGAGAATGGGCACCCATACACACGTGCCCGATGTGTTTTTCAAATCACCGGGCCAAAAATTTTAACCGTGTAGTCTGTCATGGATCCAGCTACTTTTTTTTTTTTTTTGGAGAGTTTTTGTTTTTGTTTTATGCTATAGAGCGCATGCGCTCACCAGAAAGACAGAGGGAGACAGAGATAGAAAGCGAGAAATCACCCACCCCCCCAGGGGGGATGGCCATATTGCAATCCCTTCTCCTCCATTCTCCTCTCAGGATCTTGGGTATGCATGCACACAGGCCTGTTGTGAGTTTAAGCCACTGGGTCCGGGACTCAAACCATGGTTGACTACATAGGAGTCCAGCCACATAGCCATTATGCTAACTGCTGGTCCTTCGATCCAGCTACTTTAACCACCACTAAAAGCTGGCCCGAGACCAGGGATTTTTGACTCTTTGTATGTCAGTATGTTACCAAGCCTAGTGCAGTGTCTGGTACACACTTAGTGTTCAATGAACACTTGAATGAATGAATCAGTTAATGAAGCCAGCCCCAGCCAACCTCCTCTGCTCTGTTTCTGGATACTCCCTGGCTCCTCACCTCCCTCTCTGTGCACTAGCCTTACCACATTCATCTTACTGCACCACAATCTCACAACACCCTCTGCTGTCGCCTTTCTGCTACTTTAATTGTTCCTCCCCTTCTACTTGGATACTTCCCTTTTTTTAAAAATTACTTTATTTATTTTTATTTTTTTATTTTTTTTGGAGAGGTTTTTGCTATAGGGCGTGTGCGCTCACCAGACAGACAGAGACAGAGAGACAGAAAGCGAGAAATCACCCCCCCAGGGGGGATGGCCACACCGCAATCCCTTCTCCTCCATGCTCCTCTCGGGATCTTGGGCACGCACGCACACACAAGCCCGGCGTGAGTTTTAAGTCACCAGATCCAGGACGCGAACCGCTGTCGACTACATGGGAGTCCAGCGACATAGCCATTATGCTAACTACTGGTCCCTTTATTATTATTTTTTTACATGAGTTTTGCCAGAGAAAGACGGGGGGTGGGGGTGGGGGGAAGAGTGAGAAAGCAAACCCCCAGGTCCAGGACTCAAACCATGGTCGGCCATGTGAGAATTCCAGCACCCAATCACCATGCCACCTGCTGGCCCCTCTACTTGGATACTTCTGTATATCAATAGTTCATCCTTCAACACTGAACTCAGGAACCACCTCCTCTGAGAACCCTGTTCTGACCTCCCTTCAGCCCCATCACCAGGTAAATTGTTGCCAGTGCAGATGATGTCCGTTCCCCACTGGTACTGAGGATTATGTTTATGTCCTACAGGGTCCTCTGGGACTGCCCCTGCTACCTTTCTGACCTCACCCCCTATTGAACTCACCTCCTTTCAGTCTGCCACAGCCACACTTTGGTCTCTTTTCTGTTCTTCTAGCGTGGTAAGCATATTGCTGCAAGGCCTTTGCATATGTATCAAATGCTCTTGTCCCAGATATCAGTATGGCTCATTCCTTACCTTCTTCAGGTCTCTGCTCAAATGTCACTTACTCAGAGAGGCCTTCCCTGACCCACATTTAAATAGCAACACCAGGCCAGCAGGTAGCGTACAGGTTAGAGCTAGCTGACTGTGTGGTTTGAGTCTTGGAACTAGTGACTTGAAAAAACACGAGGCACACGTGCATGTGTGCCCAAGACCCTAAGAGAATGAGAGGGGATTGTGGTGTGGCCATTGCCCACTGGGGATGATTTCTTACTTTCTCTCTCTCTCTGTCTCTGGCAAGCACATATGCTCTTTAACAAACTAAATAATAATAATAATAAAAAGAAAAGAACAATACCCCCTTCTTTTGTACTTCCTCTTAATTTTCCTGCTGGAATTTTCTCCATAGCCTTATCACCACATGAAATATTACATGTTTTTTTGTCTACTGTCTCTCTTCCCTCCCCACCTTCCACCACAGAGCAACAATCACAAGGACAGGATGTTGTTTGTTTGGCTTATTTCTCCGTGCCTAGATCAATAGGCTGTTGTTTAATATTTGTTAAGTGAATAACTACAGGTTTAATAGAAAAAATATAGGGTAGACTCTCAGTGTTGTCCAGAAAATTCTCTGAAGGTTCAGTATGAAGGGAGATGTTTCTAAGGAAATATGCTGGCAACACTTGCTAACATTTATACAGCATTCACTAGTTGCCAAGCAGTGTGCTTAGTGCTTTTCAGGCTTATTTAATTCCCAGGACAGCCCTATGAGGTAGGGTGCTATTAATGAGGAAACTATGACACAAAGAGGTTAACTCGCCTAGAGACAAGAGACAGAGAAAAGGGGAGGAAAGGAAGAGGGAGGGAAAAAGCAGTCTCCAGTGGGTCATGGTCACACCACAATCCCTCCCCCTCCACTTCTCTATTCTGGCAAGATTTGGGGCCACCAAGAGCTGGAATTCCAAGATCTGACTCCCTTAACCATTAGACTAGGGGGGCTAGCCCAAGAATATTTTAAAATAAGATAAATGTATATAAAAATCTGAGTAGTGCAGAGCAGTGCCTGATGTAGAGCAAACACTCAAAATGGTTTGTTTTTAATTTAATATAGCTCATATGAGCTTGCCAGAGAGAGAGAGAGAGAGAAAGAAACAGAGAAGGAAAGTGAGAAATCACCTCCTGAAGGGATGGCCATGCAGCAGTCCCTGCTCCATTCTCCAGGGTTTTGGGGCACACACACTTGTGTGTTTTCCAAGCCACCAGGTCCAGGATTGAAATCACACAGTCATGTGGGATCTAGTGCCTTAACCATGATGCCACCAACTGGTCCCCAAATAGCTTTATTATCAGTGTGAAAGTCACTTTTACCTGTAACCTATAATATAATTAATTGGGGCTGGCAGGTGGCGTGGTGGTTAAGTGTGTTGTACTCCCACATGGTCAACCGTAGTTCAAGTTCTGAACCTGGCGGCTTGCTTTCTTACTTTCCTTCTCTCTCCCTTTCTCTCTCTCTCACACTCTGTCCCTCTCTGGTCAAATTAAAATAAATAAAGTTAAATAATTATTAAAAAAAAAAAAAGAAGAACTAGAAAGGTCCTCAAAAGCACTTCATCCAGGGGTTTCCATCTTTGTAAAGAGCTATAGAGACCTCTTAGGACCTTTCACAGGAAAGTTCTAAACATAAAACAGATGAGGCAGGGGTAGTTTGCTTGAAGTTCAGGAGGGGAACCCACAATTCTGCCTTCTGGGCTTTCCTACTCGAGCCAAAACTACCTTCCT